CATTAGCACCTCTAGTAATATATTTACTGAGAAAAATGTTGACGTGTTCAATACTTATTTTACCCGCTGTATATAATCTGCAACTTTTTTGTACTGCACCATTTAATAGGTCAGGATAATTTTTTTTTATTTGATAGTTTGGAATGAGTACATTCAATATTTCAGAATTTGACAGGCATTCATCAGGGGGTGCTGCAGCACCCTCCACACCCACTAACAGCTAGTGGGGCCAAAACCAAAGCAGATTGCTGCCACCTTAAACAAATCCAACATAAAAACAATTCACAGCGATCCATTCAATTTTACATCACCTGATCATTTACTCATAATTCTGCAGCAGCAGCCAGCTGTATCACTTTCTGTCTAGCCTGGGCAGAAATATATTTGTTGGAATAATCCGGCAATTTGAAATGCATGATTTGTAAAATAATGCTCAAATGAAATTTTGGAGATCTTTCTTTCAAAATTGCAATAATCCACTCGTGACCCTGCTGTGACTAGCCTTTAGCTCATCAGTACACTCAAAATTAAACATTTCTTCCCTCTAAAGTGAGATTGTTGAAAGAGCAACTGACCTATCTTGTCCTTTGAGCTTAGTTTCAGTGTTTCAATCTGTTTCATTTAAATTGGTAGATTTTGTTTTAGTGTTTGTCTGAATCTGAGCAATTAATACTGACATTTGTACAGTTAACAAAAAGTGCAACTAATCAGGTTTTGGTGGGTTTGAGTTCAACTTTATTTCCTTTTTTTTTCTCCGTTATTACTTTTGCCTGCAGGAGGCGGTCACGAGTTTCCTTCAGCAGAAGCTCAAACAGACTTCTCGGACAAACTTTCCATTTGGTTCATTTTGTTCTCTTCATTTGCAAATGTGAAACTGAACGTGTTGTGTTTTTGTGGAGGGGGTTCATATCAGCTGCAGGCAGTGTGAATGTGACCGCCGCCCCTCTCCTGTCCTGGGCTGCACCAAGGCAGCAGAGCTAAAAGGAGAACATTTAGTCTATTGATTGGCTCCTGGCCTTCCTGCTCTGGTCCCTGCCTGGCCGGTGCCGGAGCAGTTTGTCCCCCTGGTCTAAGGTTGCATGTGAATTTTCTGTTGCGTCAGCTGAGTTTAAGTGCAGCATATGCTTAATGGGAGGTGAACCCTCATTATCCCCGCACTGCTTTAATTAGGAGCGTGCTGTCGATGAAGGCAACATCTTTAACTCATTTCTTCCCTCCTGCAGTAGGCGACCTCAGATGGCGAGGAGCAATAAGTCATGTTTCACTGCAGAGACTCTGGCTTTGTCGTCAACACATCTGAAGTAAATAAAGAAGGCTGATAGAAACTGATGCTCGACATTATTTATGCATTGATTCATGATATACAGCAGCACTGTGCAAGAGTCGTTTTTAATCTTTTTGTCTCCGAGGAGTAAAATTGTCCTAATCTTTTAAAGTTGTCTTGAGCAATACTTTAGGCTTCTTGATGTTTTATTTATTTGTTTGCGATGTTTTCTGCTTTTTGCCTCTTTTTTCCTTTGGTTTTAAACATAAGAGATTCAGGCTCTTTGAGATAAAATATAAAGTATTAAAGGGTAAATCAAAACTTCTGCACAGTTATATTGAAAGCAACAAAAAGGTATAATTTGCAGCAGATATAAGTTTTTGTTTTGTCTCCTTTGTTTTTTTTTCCTAATAATTTTTGGCCACTTGGGAGCAGCGGAAGAAACTCACCTAAAACAACTTGCAAATGTGTTTAAGAGTGCTCCCGCCAAAATAAAAGAATGATTATATTATTAAAATGAAGCATCATGCTCCAGTAAGATGCAGAAGCTCTTTCATAGAGATTCAAACTGGAATAAAACTGAATTAAATTTTAAACAAAAACACAAAACTCAGAGATCGCCACAGATATTTTCCTCATCATCTCTGAATCCTGGTTATTATTATTATTATTATTATTATTATTATTATTATTATTATTATTATCATTATTATTTTGGTCTCAAATTAATTTGTTATTTTTTGTAAACACAGCTTTTAGAACCTGACATTTATTGCTGATTTTCAAACCAGAGCGAGAATCAACAAATCGTGTCGTGGGGATGTGGTTTCTGACGGGGCCGCCAAAACGAGGCCAAAACAGTAAATCGGAGGAAAAAAAGGAAAGAAAACCTTCTGATTTATTTACAGTCTGTCTGTGGCAGAAGTGAAAAAAAAAAAAAAGCCCGGTTCTGCAGGAAGGCGATGGGTTGATAGATTTTGTGTGACTGAACCTTCCTTCCACCGTCAGAGCCAACAGGACAGACTTCCACTCTGTTCACTTCTGTCAACTCATTTTCCAAATGCTTGTGGAGCTTTTAGACAGAAAACACAGACGACCAGAAGAACTCTTCTTATTTGACTGGAAAACAACTTTTGGTGCTAAAATTTGCAACATTTGACTAAAAGACGAGATTTCAGTATTTTTGCAACAGAGGATGGATCTCAAAGGGGCAATATCGTGTAAAATCAACTTTTTTGAGTTTTATATCATGTTATAATGTTATACTCTCATAAAAACATGCCCAAAGCCTTGCTTTGACTCATTCATGCATGTTTGAGAAATCCTGCAGCGTTTTCAGGCAGCCATGCTGAGGAGCAAAATAACAGGTGGGGACCAGAAATGCCTTCAGGGACAGGAAACACCCCTGGGACGTGTCTTAAGCCGAACTTCCTCATGGCACAGTGCCCCCCACGACTCCTGCAGACTCTCGTGTGAAACTGAAAGTGAAACTTAAACTGTCTGCTGAGCTCCACTACTTCTCACTCAGTGAAGCTCTTTTCAGCTTAAAAATACCTTTGAAGAAATGTATTTTCAGATGCCAAGTAAACTGCCTCATGGCAGCCCCCCTCCCTCGCGAGCGCGACCCCCACCCCCTGCGCTGAAATGGACAGGACAGAAGCAGAAGGTAGTTCTTAAAGAGACAGAGGCCAATTTCAAGGCATTTAGTAGAGGAAGTGATGAGAAGATAAGTTTGTTTTCTTTTTAAACATAAAAACAACATTTTAATAACAGCTAAAGGTGACATAGATACTTTATTATGGTAT